CCCACTTAATACCACATGTTTACTCCTCTATGTTCTTTATCATCCTTTACACTGAACCAATGATCCAAATGAAGAAAAACAGTAGGAGACAAGTGGGGAAAACCACGTCTGATTAAGACGGCTAAGGAGGCAGACGTGTGAACAGAGGACGAAATAAATCCATGAAGGGTCAGGATGAAAAATGGCTCCTCGATGATATCTTCCTCCTCGATCCTGGTGGAGGGAGCATGATTTATGGTCCTCTGGGCATGTGTCTGCTTGGTCTGCTGCGCCGTGTCGCATGTCCAGTGTTTATCAGTAAAACGACCACCAAGTCCACGGTCTGATCAGGGAGATAAAGCTGTGAGATTATAAAGAGAATAAATGTATATTCCCAAAGGAAATTAGTTTCTGGCCCAAGACAAAAACAGGATTATTGTCCTGCAGAACACAAAGTTCAGTACAATTGTGAAGTAATTCCCACTGCATTCATTTGTCAGTTACTTTTAAGACGAGTCTGCTTTCATATACAACACTGTATGATCAGTTTATGAAATATGATGAAAATAAAGATTGAACTGTCAAAATAAAGCAGCTAAAATAAGCCCCATCTTGGCCCACTATGTACAACATTCAAGTCCTTACATGCTAATGCCTCACTAGCAACAATTAAGTAAATTATAACTCAACATAATTTGTTCAACACTTTTGCAATTTAAGTTAAATGAAGGGGGAATAACCAAAGCAACTGCTTTTCTTTTGTTTCCAAGAGGCTTAGCAAATGCAAGGGTCTGAAATGAACATAGGCCTCACTGAAAACCTTGTATGAGAACAAAGTATGATGAATGAAATCCCCCTTACTCGTGATTTATTCACTGTGTATACAGTATATAATCATATACAAGCATTTGTTAATGATGAACAACAGAAATGCATGATAGTGTACATCCTGCATCAATTCATGAATCATCATGACCATTAGTTAAGTGATTTACCCTTATAAGTGTACAGGTGCATGTCGTGTAAAGGTCTACAAATAATGTGCTTTTCTTCAAGTCCTAATGTGTTTCGTTTCTCTCTTTCACTGTATAATTCATTCATTGTTCATATATTTTCATGAGTTTTATATATTTAGTTATTAATGCTCATGTATTGTTGAGCAGTAGAAATGCTTGCTCCTCAGTTATTATACCAACAGTCTCATGTAGGTTACAACAAAACCTCAACACTGTGTGCGTTACCTTTGGCTGTGTTTTTTTCTGTATCCTGACAGGCCAGTGTTGAATGAATATTTTATCAATTGGAATGACGACAGCTGCGTCAGACCATCACTTCCTCAGGTAGGAGTGGATAACCTTGACAAATCCCTTCTCTCTCTCTCTCTCAGCCTCCCACCTTCTCGTGCACAGATGCGATGGCCGGAAGTCTCACACGACAATTGAGTGGCAGGTGATAATTTGTCATTGTTGGTAATGAGCGGCACTTTGTGCGTCACGGTGCGTCACGGTGCGTCCCGAGCTCTCCACCCTGCATGTTAATTGCGGGAAGAGCAGCATGTGATCCTCCGTCCTCCAGTCCCGCTTAGTCAGTGCCACACCGACTCACAAGTGCTGCCCGGCGGATGTATTCATGCCTACACACATATTTTCTAGCGTTAATGATAAACCCTGGATTTTGGTGATCGGTGCCAAAGACTGACGGTGAGAATTTCTTTTTTCCTAACATCCATCCTCTGTGCATACTTTTCTTCCTAGGTGTTATCACCTGTATTTAAAAATGTGTAGACTGCTAATTGCTAAGGAAAGTTCACAAACAGCTTGAAAATTGTTTTAAAAGCTTTGTTTTGAGTCATGTGAAGTTAGTGTTCAATTCGCATTGTGTTTGAAATGAGTTCCAGCTTACACAGAGGTCATAGATTGATCGTCTTTGACCTTGATTGGGCGTTTTAAAAGTCATTGCATCACTTTTGATGAGCTCTTAAATCTAAGAAAAAACACCCTGAAATATCAGCATCAGCACCAGATGTGTCACCTGGTGTCCCAACAGTGATCTCTGCTAATGTTGATCAGCGAGGGCAGGTTTACACAGCCTGCAGCTGCTCTGTTCAGCTGCATTTTACATTAAAATAGGTTTGTATGGGAAACAAGTTCAAATCAATGTCCTAATGTTTTCATTTTACACTGGTCCAGGTCATTTAGTTATTTAGAGGTCTGAGATATTATGGGGTGTTGCCAGTAAAGCATGACTAGTTGGTTGTTATAGGCTTCAGGCATATACTCCAGTGTAAAAAAATCCAGTGTAAAAAAATGATTGTACACTAACTGTGGTTCAGGAGGCTGGAAGTCGACCAATAATCGATTAACGAACAAGTCTGGACGTTTAAACAGGACTTATTACTAAGCCAATACCTGCAGAATCAGCTGTTTTTCATCAAGCGTAACATCCTGTGTTTCTGGAAGTGGCGTGAAACCTCATTCTAATCGATTAAAATAAAACTGTCATTATATATATTTGAGAGCTTGTGTTGAACTTGTGGTCTAGTTGGTCAAAAGTAACCAGTGTGAAGTGTGATTTCACACTGGTGTGAATTAGGTTTCCCATTAAAACACTCTTGTGTGGCAATAACGATAACCCCTCAGAATGATTTGTTGTCATTCAGTTGTGTTGCTTTCAATACACTCTGACCGAAGACTTTTGATTACTATGACTTGGTTAAAAGCTGAGGCGATTAGTCATTAATCGATTAGTTGATTGACAGAGAGTTCCTTTTTATGATCGATTGATAATTTCAGTGATTTTTCAAGTTAAAAAAAACAAAGATTCGCTGCTTTTCTTTGTTACATGTGACAGGATATTTGGGGGTTTTGGATTGTTGGGACCAAAAACACAATTTGAAGACAAACTTTAAGGAAATGTGACATAATATTTTACTTTTATTCTGACATTTTATTTATGAATCGAGAAAATAATTTTCAGATGTATTGATAATGGAAATAGTTGTGTTTCCTCTCCAGTAATTTACAAGATTGTGAGGTAATAACAGAAGACAGCTGCATACATGAAGAACTGATAACCTGTACACTACAGCATATATTATTTCCTAAGTCAAACTCCAATAACTGTTCATTGCACTCTCTGCTGTTATTGTGACAAAGGCTTATAAGCTTATGTAATTTATAAGAAGGGAAGTAATGCATTTGGAGGTTAAAAACTATGCTGGAAAAAAAACATGTATGAAGAAGCGAAAACATAATAAATATAGAGAGATGAGGCGGATAATTAAGTAGGTTATTTAATCAAAGGTAATACCGTTTTTCAGTGTTTATCTCTGTACCGAAAATGTAGATCTTTCACAATGAGAAATATGTGATCTAAAGCGGAAAAAACATTGCAATCATACGCAAACATTTTTCTTTCCTGCAAAGAATACCACTGCTCTTCAACACTGCCAGACCTTCAGTATCAGCTGGGGTTATCAGAACTGTGTGTTGATGGGTTTTTTCCAGCAGGATTACTCGCCGGGTGTTTTCGTTTCTCAGCGTTGGCTGGATGATGCAGCCTCTGATTGATATTACGTGTCTTGTATGCTGTAGGATGGGATTGCATGACGAGACAGAAAGACAGCCGTGGGGGCTTTACAGTTAATGCACACAGGATTATGAAGACTTGTGAATGACCATGGATTATTGCATCACAGGCTCATCTTGACATGCAGAGAGGAGGAAATCTGTTTGGGATCAAAAATATATAAACAAGGACAGGAAATGCACATTCTGAGCACGATTTCTGAAACGATTGGGGCATTGGGACTGACAGGAACTCTGACAGTGGTTCTGTTGAGTTTGTTTACATTGTGGAGAATCTGCAGATAGTTGAAGAGTTAGTTTTAGCTCAATATCAAAGGTGCGTGTTGTGACTATTGTGCGCAACACTAACATTTTACCACACTCAAGGAGCAGCATCTTTATTCAGTTTTATGATTTATGATCAGTCACTATATAGAGAATCATACATTGTGTGGTAGTCGGTGGTTTGTTTCACTTATCTTTGCCCCTGCATGTGAAACACTGTTCACATACCCTAAGCTTTGCAGTTTTGCATGCCAGTGGACGGCAGATTTTTATAATGAAGAAATGACTCGCTCAATAAGTAATGAGAGCCTGCACAGGGGCTCGTGTTGTGGATCAAGAGAACACATGACAGCACTTCATCCAAAGCATCATGTTCACTTCCTCCATTACGTTTGGGTCGAACCAACCACTCCCAGAGAGAGGGGTGAGGCTGGATGTCGCAGCATGGCTTCAGAGGATTAGGGGATTTAAAGGGGGAAAAAAGCTTCACTAAAGTTAAGCTTTGCAGAACAGGGAAATGAAATAGAACAATTTGCAGGATTTGGAATATTTCTGGAACCAAAAACATTGCGTGAGAGACAAAGAGTTGTGGTGGAAAAATGACGGTTCAAGTCCCTGCTGAGTTTTTTCTGAAAGATTTGTGTTAGGTTAACTCTCAGGTTTGACTGATGGTCTCCTGTCTTACTGTTGACATCCTTCATAGCTCTGGAGAGGCATAACATGTGTTACAATCCTGTGTCCTCTTACAAGCCTAACCAAGCACATAATAGAAAAATAATTGTGTCAGCAACTGTGTGAAGTTATTTATGGATCCCAGCCAGAAAAATGAAGCTTAAATGTACTATACATTCAATGGACCATGACAAGGGCCAACACCTGACCTTGTTTATTTAAAATGGAGGCTTTTTGTCCAATTATAGAAGATTATTGATTGAAATTGTCATAACCATAATGTCCTTGAAACATCATTTTCAATTTTCTGTGTTTTCTGATGCAGGCCCAGAGCATAATATCCGGCTGTCGCTCCTCAGCATCTCCCTTAGAGCTACATCCCTCCACCTCTTCTCCACTCTCTGTCTGTATCACCTCTTTCTGTTCCCACAAGGCTCTGTTTTCGCTCTCTCTTTCTCTCTCCACCCCCACCCCCCCTCCCGACCCTCAGCCTCCCTGATGCCGAAGAACAGCAAGGTGACGCAGCGCGAGCAGAGCAATGATCACGTCACAGAGTCGGTGGCTGACCTGCTCGCACATGAGGAGCCGTTTGACTGCAAGAACAGCTCCCTGAACGTCGGAGGGGCCCCCGGCAAAAAGGTCCCGCAGATAGAGGTGCCTGAAAACGATGGACGCCCCACCTGGAACAGCAAACTGCAGTACATCCTGGCACAGGTGGGCTTCTCTGTGGGCCTGGGGAACGTGTGGCGCTTCCCTTACCTGTGCCAGAAGAATGGAGGAGGTGAGTGTTGACAAGCACAGCAAACCAGACACTAAGCACATTACCTGTCAATGTACTTAAGTGACATTTAATTCACAGTTCCTTGCTTGTCTCCAATCGAGGGACACTGAGAATAATTACAAACAATGCTGTGAAATATTATTCTGCTATAAATAC